ATTTCATTTTTTCCAGATCCTCTTTTGTTGCCAGTTCAGGGGGTCCAGGTGGTTGAGTATCAGAGTGTTCCATCTCATTTCCCTTTGGGGTTGCTGTAGGTGATCTGGAAGTCTGATTTTGAGACGTATTTACGTGTCTTCTCATTTTGACCTGGTAGGGGCAGAGTGTTGTTGGGGCCCACGCAGCTCACCTCCTCTGAGCTGGGAGTGGTGGGACAGCAGCTCAGAAGCTCTTTCCTCTGGGCTGGGAGCAGCAGGACAGAAGGCAGCCCAAAAGCCCCTACCTCTGCCTGGGCCGGGAATGGCGGGATGGACAGCAGCCTGGAAGCCCCTTCCTCTAAGCCCAGAGTGGTGGGACGGTGGCTCAGAAGCCCCTTCCTCTGGGCTAGGAGCAGCGGGATGGACAGCAGCCCAGAAGCCCCTTCCTCTAAGCTGGGAGCGGTAGGATGGTGGCTCAGAAGCCCCTACCTCTGGGCCGGGAGCGGCGGGACCAATGGTGGCCCAGAAGCCCCTTCTTCTGGGCCAGGAACAGTGGGACAGAACCCAAATAGGATGTATACATTGCATTCTTTTGGCCTTGTTTCAGTCTTCTTAGTTTCTTTTAATAGATAGACCCCTTTGTTCTTTTAAGTGAGATTTATTTATTATTATTATTATTTTTTGAGACAGAGTCTTGCTATGCAGTTCAAACTGACCTTGAACTCACCATGTAGCCTAGGCGGGCCTTGAACTCTCAAGCAATCCTCCTGCTTAAGCCTTCTGAGTGCTGGGATTACAACCATGTGTTACCATGTCTGGTGACATTTATTTATTGACAAAGTATTTTATTCTGTATAATTTCTCATATTCTCAATTTGGTTGATTGTTTCCTTGTGGTGTTTAACTAGTTGCTTTAGAAAATTTTTAAAAAACCGAATACTTCCTAGCTGCTTGTGACAGCTCACATAACTCCAGAACTTCTGGAGACTGAAGCCAGGGGTTTCCAAGATTGAGTCCCACATGGGCAACTTATTGGGATCCTGACTCAAAATAAAATAAAGTAACATAATGTAAAATAAAATAGCTGGAACGTTGCTCAGTATCAAGACTCTTAAGTTCAAGCCATGGTACTGAAAAAGGGAGGCAGAAAGAACATTTCCTAGATGTTTCATCACATCAGAAGGTCTATGATGCCTGACTATCCAATTTAGTGATCGGAGAAAATGGTCTTTAACATTTTTTCTATTGATGTAGTACAGTGCACAAATTAGTAGCGTACATACAGCTTGAATATTTCATGGGTATGTATGTGCAGCCACCACCTAGATCAAGATACAGTACAGTTGTATTACCTGGAGGGTTCCCTTATGCCCTTTTATAGTCAGCCCTTATGCCCAAAAGTAAATGACGTTTTGGCTTTTTATCACCTAGAATACTTTTGCAGGGTAGGAAATTTTCACTCTGTCCTTCATTTTGACATTGTCTATTTCTTTTAATTTTTTTTTTTTTTT